GTGGTGCTACCGATGCACCGAGTTCATATTGTGCTTTTAAAATGTTCAAAAAATTCCGAAAAAATTAGTACACGCACATAACATCAATGTAGTTTGTCACAAAATTTCAAGTCAAAATTCAAAACATAACTTGAAAAACAAAAATAACAAATTCAAAACAGAATAGTACACAACATAACTGGGGCTTTAGATTTGGCCCATTATCACACTGAAGTCTAATTTATCATTTTTGTATCTCAAAAAATATTTCAAAATTTTATACGAATTTTTGTGACATCATACATTGATATTGTGTCAATGTGCTAGATTTTTTTTAAAATTTTAAAAACATTCTATGGCATCCAGTGCACCGGTAGCATCACAAGTGTGAGTGCACCGGATACATTCCCGCATGCGAAGAGGACAAAAGGCAAGAGAGACTAGCGGAAACGTGCCATGGAGGCCATGCAGGAGTAATTAGTCTTAATTGGTTTTAGTTTCGTGACAGGATTCATCCAACGTTCGTGTTGGGAGGAAAAGATTTCAACCGGTGAGGGAAGGACGAAATTTTAACGAAAGACGGGTAAAGAACCTTACATTTTTTAAGGTAATATGTAGTAGAGGTTATAAGTTTTTTTTAGAGGTAATATCACTGCTAGTTATAGAACTTGTGTTGGATGTGCAGTTTGGTGCTCAAATTTTAGAAATATGGTTTTCTTATCATCTAAATTGTGTTTAGGTGCAAATACACTCACTCCGGCTGTTTGCGCTCGTATATGCAGCAGGCGTGGCATGCCCGAAACTACTGTGTGGACGACGCATGCCCGGACGACAGCGACACGATGCGCAATCCAGCCGCTCACATGCGCTGGATGGTAAGCATGGACGGGCTGATATGTGATGTCGTGCACAAATCGGCCGACAGCGTCGTGTGCATAGCAGCTCTCTGGCATGCCACACAGGCACGTGCCCGCTGTCAGTGACAGATATCGCTTCAGGGCAATGCACCTGTGTTTTCTTTTTGCACAGGAGCCCTCGAATTTATTTAGTTACCAACAAAGGCGAACCCACGAGCACCTAATAACACACACAAGTACCTATTTGTGTCCATAAAGAGAAACACTGAAAATTTATTTATTTGCAATGATGACTACTCATATGCAAATAATTTTTCTCTAACCAAATTTCCATTAAGAGAGAAAATTGAGCGCCCAAAAGTTTTGAATTTAAACGAGAGAAACTAGTCTAACAATACATTAACGTAACTTAAATCCTCGTATGGGCATACAATATCAGACCCTGTTTTGAGGAAAAATTGTGTTATTCACCCTCATTTAAAAAAATACATTATTTAAAATATTGTTTTGCGTGCTGCAACAATGAATTGGACTCGCGACTTCCAATAGGAAAGGAGTCGGGCTGACCACTGTACAGGAAGCACTTATTTAAAGGAACTAGATGATGCCCCCGCACGTTGCCGTGGGAAACATGCATGTTAAGACAAATGCATTAGTAAGTGCTTAAGAGCAACTAAAACTAATGAAAATACGAAAGATGTTGTATGTTTACATTTAAAAAGGAATAAAACATGCAAAGTATGTGACAGAATAAGGTATAAAAAAGATATTTTGGATTTGACATAATGTGACACCATATTTTAACAAAAATGTGAAGCACAAACAATATATTTTTGCCTCAAGGGTCCCACACATATAGCGTTCCTGACAACACAAAAATTAACGCAAAAATTTAAACTGTGACTAACATGCATGACTTTATTTCCCAGAAAAAAGGACATGCAAGACCTAATGAAGTGGCATGGTTTGCATGGATAGATTAATGCAAGAAGTGTAAGTTGTGAATACATGGATGACTTCTAAGGTCACACAATTTTGATCGGATGGCTATAAATAATTAAAGTGATGTGGAAGCATGCATGTTGAGAGAAATCTAGTAGTGGGGGCTAGCTATTTAGATATAGTAGATGTGTTAAACTAAATATATTTAGACATTAAAAATTGAACTCAAAATGTATTTCAAAATTTCAGGCGAAAAAAACCCGGAATTGCCGAAATATTTCGAAAACCGGATTTTGCAGCTCCTTCAAAAAAAAACAGAATCAAAAGAAATCTTGCTCATGAACAAGTTTGTGTAGTTTTGGGTTAAACATTATACATTCCGACCCTTCTTTAAAAACGAATTTCATTTGAAAATTTCTGGCGGAAAGTGATTTTTCAGAAACCTATTTTTCTGGCCAAACAGAATCAATAAAAATAATGTGAGTTCGGTATAAAAGTAAATGTATCTCCACAAAGGCATGAAATTGTGCTTGGTGAAGTGGTTCGCTAGTGCGTTGATGTATATGAAGTCGTGAGCTTAAACCCTGACCAAGCCTTCTGTATTTCTCATTTCTTGCACCAATTTTGTTTTGGTCAATGACAGTGGGCACCCTTTTTATTTCTCATTTCTTGCACCAATTTGTTTCAGTCACTAATATTAGGCCATAGCCCCACTGGCATGTCACATAAGCACGGGATACTGACGAAATGACCGTATTTGCATGAAATGACAAGTTATGTGACCACAATTTCGTATTTGACAAGTCTTGTAACCAAACTGAATATCGAACACGAGTTGTATGACTCCCACTGATATTATCTCTTTTTAGTAGACAAAATAGAGATTATAAGTATCTGGCCATTAGGCGAGCAACTAATTGGAGAGCGCTCCTTCGGGAGCCTCCCGAGGATCACTTCGGGGTGCGCTTAGCCGTTGCCACATGTCACGCTCTGGGCACTTTCTTTGATTTGATTTTTTATTTTTTTCGCATGCTTTTTTGGCTTTTTAAATGGTTTTTTCTGATTTTTTGACTTTTTCGTTTTCCACTAGTCTTCCTTAGCCTTTGAACCATTTTTTTCAAAAAAATTACACCAAAAAACACGTTCTTTTTTTGATTCCATGAGAGGCATGGCCATGCCTCTCAGAAACGAAAAAAAACATGTTTTTGTTTTTTCCTTTCGCGAGAGGCACGATTTTTCTTTCACAAAAGGCACGGCCGTGCCTCTCGAAAACGAAAAAAAACATGTTTTCTGTTTTTTTTCTTCCGCGAGAGGCACGGTTTTTGTTTTCGCGTGAGGCACGGTTTTGCTTTCGTGAGAGGCACGGCCATGCCTCTCGTAAACGGAAAAAAACCGCGTTTTTTTTTCCGCGAGAGGCACGACCATGACTCTCGAAAACGAAAAAAATAAGTTTTCTGTACTTTTCCTTCCAAAAGAGGCACGGTTGTACTTTCACGAGGGGCATGGCCGTGCCTCTCGGAAACGAAAAAAACATTTTTCTTTTTCTTCCACAAGAGGGACGACCTTGCTTTCGGGAGAGACACGATTATGCTTTCGTGAGAGGCACGGCCATGCCTCTTTTGGAAAGGGAAAAAAACGTGCTCCAGGTTCAGTTTTTTCGTCTGATTTTTTCGTGATAAAAAGTTTGTCAAAACCTATCAACATGTGATCTAATTTTATAGATCTCGATGCGAGAAATCCAATGATGAAAAAGAGTCGAGATTTGAACGCACGGTTTAAGAGATAAATTTTTTTGAATAACCGGATGTACGAAAAAAAATCTCAAGTTGCGACAAGTGACGCACATGCAATGCGTCAGTTGTCGCAATCTAAAATGGTAGGAGTGATCTTTGATAGGAATACTCTTTAATTAGTGATTCAGACCATTAACGTACACGTTTGACCTGACCTCTATGTATCTAGTTTTGAGAAGCCCAAGCCCATAATTGATAGCCCACAGGGCACGTACTGCAATCTGGTCGATCTGCTGGTCTACGTACTCGTTGATTGGACCAATACAGAGCATTGCCACAATACATCGCTATTGCCCAACTCCACTTCTCCACAATCCTCAACCGTTTCAGCTGCCATCGCCACCGAGCTAGGGCTTAATTGAGCGGCAGACCTCATGAGCATCAGCAACGACCTGACTGACGAAGGATCCCGCACGCCCGGTATGAATCTACCACAACTCCACAAGCTGGTCTACTAATTGGCAAACATCTCCCCCTCTCGGCTTTCACAACACGGCTTGTGGGTTTGTCTAAGCTGAACCTATTGTATGGTACATCGATATATTAACTTTACGGGTGTGTTTAGGGCACATTTAGATGTGCTCTAGTTATTGCATATCTAAGTGAGTGAATCAAGCATAAAGCGGAAAAGAAAAAAAGAAAAAGAAAATATTCACACGGATCTCAACGTAAGATCAATGACATAAGACTTAGATGTGCAATACTTATGACACATCTAGATGTGCTTTAGCAAAACTGTAACAAAAAATTGAAGCCATTTGTTTTAACCACCCACTTCACTGATGAGAATGCATAGCTACTTGTATATATTTTAGGAGTGGATTACTACAAAGCTCGACGTTTGATGGTTTGATGGGCCTGTTGTGCGTAGATATACATCTAAGCTGATAAAAAAATGTAGCTATTTCAATGTAACTGCAAAACAAATGTTGTCATTATTTGTTTGATATCGACACTATATTAAAGAAATAAAGAAATGATATATACGTTGGTGCTGCATTTTTTGCATGTGCATTGTCCTCTTAGCCCCCCTATGTTCAAATCCTGACTCCGCCCATGATGTATTCCCACATTAATCTCATTACACAACACGCACATAGATGAGATATTCAGCAACACGCATGATCACTGGTGAGCTGATGAATTAGCTCTGTACCCAGCTTAGCTAGAGCTGATGAATTAGTTCTTCATCTATAGAGTAACCTTATACAATAATCTATATATACTCATAATGGCTTTGTGCTATATATATGACAAGCTCTGTTTCAAATATGTGCGCATAGACGTCATGGTGTATAACCATCAGTTGTTGCTAGTGTTGGTCGACACAGATACAGTGGCCGACGACGGGCACGGTGGCTTCGGCTTCGACTTTGCCTTCGGTTTCGAGTTAGTCTTCGACGGACACGGTAGCCTTGGCTTCCGTGCATTAGGATGGCACGGCCGCTTTAGCAGCGGCTTCGGCGGGGTTGGTTTCGGCGGCATGGGCGACGGCGGCGATATGGGCGACGGTGGCGGCATGGGCTTCGGTGGAGCGGGCTTTGGAGGTGTGGGCTTTGGTGGCGTCGGCTTTGGCTCCGGCTTTGGTGGCTTCGGACTCGGGGGCTTTGGACCCGGGCTTGGGTGGTGGTGGTGATGGTGATGGTGGTGGTGGTGGTGGTGGTCCAAGCATTTGTGCCCGCATGATTTGTAGCAATCCGCCTGTTTATCTGTAAATCAAAGGCATGGTAAATGGAGTGATTCTTATATGTACGCGCAATTTATGACCTTCTTTGGTTGGGTTTTTGCTTCTACTTTTTTAGCTTTTTCACTTTGGTAAAAAACCAAAAAAATTCCTAAATAGGTGTTTTTTTTTGCTTCGGCTTTTGGTATATACTCATAAGACAAGAGCCGAAGCAAAAAAAAACCCTATTTAGAAGCTTTAGTGACTTTTTTGGTAAAGTGGAAAAACTATAAAAGAATAAGTAAAAGCCCAAATAAACAGGCCAGGTAAGACGCATGTTGCTTTTTTGGAGTACGTACAGGGTGGGTGATTGAGGCAGGTCTCCGAGATGCACATCTTGTAGCACACCGGCGGCAGGCTCCTGTAGCAGTCCACGATGCACATCTTCTTGCATTTGAAGTACTTCCGCCAGTCGCTGCGGCTGTCGTCGTGGTCGTCGTCGTCGTCGTCATCGTTATCATCATTCTCATCATCGTCGTCCTTATCATCGTCGTTGTCGTCGTCGTCCTTGTTGTCCTTATCATCATCGTCGTCATCCTTGTCATCCTTATCATCGTCGTCCTTGTCATTCTTATCACCGTAGTCATCGTCATCCTTTTTGTCGCCCTTGTCATCGTCGTCCCTGTCGTCGTAGCCGTCGGCGATATGGGCGACTGCACCATCGGTTTTGTCGACAGCGGCTAGAGTGCCATCGGTGGAGTGTGTGATTGCTGCAGTGCCATCGATAGAGTTGACGGGGATGGAGGCGGCTGCTGCACCATCGTCGACGGTTGTGTGGACGGCGGGCTGAGTACGATTGACGGAGCGGGCGGCGGCATCACGGTAGCCGTCGCACTTGTGCATGCAGGAAGAGTAGTACCGCCAGCAATGTGCTCCCTTTGCGGGTTGGGGATCCGCTGCCCCCGCCGCGGCGAAGAGCGCCGCCACGGTCAAGACGGCGGCGATCCTGGCCACCGCCATGGAGGCCATGCTTCTCCGGTGAAATTTGTGGAGATGGAGATCGATGGTGTGGCTGGCTTTGCAGAAGAAAGGTGGTATATATGGGCAGATTGAGCGTACATGTTCTCGCGCGCAGATCGAGTGCACGCGACATACAAACTGAATCAGTTAGCGCGCGACCTGGAGATGCAGCACGCGTCCGGCAACTACGTACCTCCATGCTTAATTTGCTCGCGCCAGCTTCTCATGCGTCGCGCATGAATGCATTTGGTGAATTTGTTCGACCCACAGCTTAGTTTTGGTAATTTCCTAGCTAGGCATCAGTCACGCATTTTGCACAGCTCCACCATCCCTAAACTGTGCTCTTTTCCTTTCACCCCTTAGCTCCAGCAACCCGGGTTTGATTGCATTAACCAAATGATTATAGAGAAATGACCTATTTTGTATGTAGATTAACAAAATTTCCATAGGATAATTAAATTGTGTTTGGCGTGTGTATTGCAATAATCCTTTTTGTCCACTAAGACTTCGCATATTTTTCCATTTATATGGCCAACCTTTTTTTCTTATAAACTAAGTTCGGCTGACTTCCAAAAAAATTTAGCAAACGATGATTCATGAACCACAAACAAAGCCTTGGAAACTGGTCCCTCTAATTGATATTGGGCGCCATTTTAGAGTCATTAGCCATGTATTTATACATTTTGTCATCATTATACAAAAAAACACCAACATCGACTCGATTTGATATCACAAAAAAATTCATGAAATGTATTCTGATAACTTATAATTACTTCTGTACGTAACAACATAATTTAAAACGTTTGTAGTCAAAGAAGGCCCAGCTTCGACTAGCAGCCTGCACTGAATTGGCATTTGAATATCATATGATGTATAGTTTCCTCAATCGGTTGCCCACACAATAAGCAGTCATGGTCATCTCCAATATTGTAGTGACGGCGTTGAGATTGTTTCTGATGTTGAGACGATCCGAGAGGAGAAGCCCACCAAAAACTTTAATTTTCATGCTTGATTTGGATTTTCACAATCACAGGTATGTCTTGTGTGCTTTAATATCTCTGAAGAAACATTTGTAGTTAGTATCGCCGTGGCGTCTATTTACTAGATCCCTAAATATACGCCTATATATCTTTGTCCTCGGGATGAGAGCCATTACCCATGTGTGCAATAAGATTTTGGATTTGACGTACTTTGTTATGAGCTTGCATGGACAGGGGAAGGTGAAATGCTTCACCAAGTGTCATCATGCCCAAGAAATCTCGGGCGGACATGTCCTCATGTATTGCATAAGAGAAAGCCCTCGGTGGGAGTCAGCAAAGATTTCCTCCATTAATAGATACTTCTACAATAGCACATTACAAAGATTTAGTAGGTACTTGCTTCTTCATTACTCAAGATAACTAAAACAAAGGACATGATATTGCAGATGTTGTGGCCTTGATTGCAATAAGGGTATCATCATTGCATTAAAGCACAGTGGTTGTAACAATGGATTTAGAGGATGAAGGAGAAGGTCATTTGTGGGTGCGTGAGTCGTTGCAAAAGGTCTACTATGACGATGAAAAGATAGGCGGGAATGATTCTCCTAGCGAAGACCATTTTTGTAAGTGATCCAAGGATCAGGACATCCCTTTAGTAGAATGGTAATCTTTCCAATGATGAGTAGGCCGTCAACACCATTTTTTGGGGAAGCCTCTAACTCGAAGAATATCAATGCGAGAGGCCCAACAAACCAAATAAAAAATTGGGAATCTTGTTTTATAACCATGGTTAGTGCTTTTGTTTTCTGGCAGCAACGGATTATGCCAGCATCATAGAGGAAATTCTCTGAGATGCATTTTTAAGATAGGAAACCAATTTGATCACAATGGACTAGAAGCGGGATGAGAGGTTTTAGTTGATTTGTTAGAAATTTTTGCAATGGCCTAAATGGGGCAGTTTTGCAAGGATATGGCAATTTCTTGGAGTAATGCGATGGGTGCCTCTTGGAAAATTCATCGAAAAGGTGGTAGATCATTTCTTTAATAATGTTTCGTAATTTAGGGTAGAAGCTATATAGAGCCAAATCCATTTGGTCTCGGGCTTGCGTTATTATTCATTGATCTGAAGACATCAAAGATTTCTTGGTGGGAGGAGGGTTCATCAATAATGTAGTTGTGGGGTAGTTTGGAGGTAATTCTCCGCTATAGAGAAGTTCCAAAACAGGTGTGAGAAGTGCCCAGGAGAGAGGTGTAATAGCTAGTTAGGATTTCCAATTTAGCATCGAGCAAGAAGAATTTAGTGCCATTGTGTAGAAGGGGCAAGATTTGGTTTTTACGGAACCAGTGAGATGGTAGCGTGGAATTATCATGTATTTTCATCAAATTTGATCGCAAATTTAACTTTACCTATTTGTTGTCAATAAGTAACATTTTCATTAATCGTCCTATATAAGACATGGATGATTAGAGCTCCAAGATTTTGCTTGAGGGTAGAGAGGGCATGTTTTTCTTTGATTTGGTAAGAGATAAATTATTGTGTTGAAATTATTTTTCCATTTTTGATCTAACATCTTATTTTATATCTAGAGCCAGTAGTAGGAAGGAGGAAGAACATAATTATCTTGCCCAGCCTAATTGGTCGATAGGCTTTGCTCTAAGCCGAGTGTCGGTGTGAAATCCGGCAGACCTCGGGGTAGGGGGGGTCCTAAGCCGTGGATCTCGGATCGATGGTAACAGGAATGAGGGAGACGATGTTTATGATGGAAATATGCCCTAGAGGCAATAATAAAATGGTTATTATTATATTTCCTAAATCATGATAAAGGTTTATTATTCATGCTAGAATTGTATTGACCGGAAACTTAAATACATGTGTGGATACATAAACAAATACTGTGTCCCTAGTGAGCCTCTACTAGACTAGCTCATTGATCAAAGATGGTTAAGGTTTCCTAACCATAGACATGAGTTGTCATTTGATAACGGGATCACATCATTAGGAGAATGATGTGATGGACAAGACCCAACCATTAGAATAGCATATGATCGTTTAGTTTATTACTACTGCTTTCTTAATGTCAAATACATGTTTCTTCGACCATGAGATCATGCAACTCCCGGATACCGAAAGAATACCTTGTGTGCTATCAAACGTTACAATGTAAGCGGGTGGTCATAAAGATGCTCTACAGGTATCTCCGAAGGTGTCTGTTGAGTTGGCGTGAATCAAGATTGGGATTTGTCACTCCGTATATCGGAGAGGTATCTCTGGGCCCTCTTGGTAATACACATCACAAGAAGATTGCAAGTAAAGTGACTAACAAGTTAGTTGCAAGATGATGTATCACGGAATGAGTAAAGAGACTTGCCGATAACGAGATTGAACTAGGTATATGATACGTCCATTTTGCATCATGCTTTCATACTGATATTTATTGCATTATGGGCCGTTATTACATATTTTGGTACAATACTTATGCCTTTTCTCTCTTATTTTATAAGGTTTACATGAAGAGGGAGAATGCCAGCAGCTGGAATTCTGGACTGGAAAAGGAGCAAATCTAAGAGACCTATTCTGCACAACTCCAAAAGTCTTGAAAATTTATGGAGAATTATTTTGAAATATATAAAAAATATTGGGCGAAAAAGCACCTTAGGGGACCCACCCGGTAGCCACAAGGGTGGGGGCACGCCCTACCCCCCTAGGCGCGCCCCTTGCCTTGTGGGCCACCTGGCAGGCCGCCGGTGCCCATCTTCTGTTATATGAAGGGTTTTGACCTATAAAAAAATCAAGGAGAAGTTTTCGGGAGGAAGCGCCGCTGTCTCGAGGTGGAACTTGGGCAGAACCAATCTAGGGGTCCGGCGGAGCTGTTCTGCGGGGGAAACTTCCCTCTCGGAGGGGAAAATCATGGTCGTTGTCATCACCAACGATCCTCTCATCGAGAGGGGGTCAATCTCCATAAATATCTTCACCAGCACCATCTCCTCTCAAACCCTAGTTCATCTCTTGTATCCGATCTTTGTCTCAAAACCTCAGATTGGTACCTGTGGGTTGCTAGTAGTGTTGATTATTCCTTGTAGTTGATGCTAGTTGGTTTATTTGGTGGAAGATCATATGTTTAGATCCTAAATGATAATTAACACTCCTCTGATTTTGAACATGAATATGCTTTGTGTGTAGTTACGTTTGTTCCTGAGGACATGAGAGAAGTCTTGTTACAAGTAATCATGTGAATTTGGTATTCTTTCGATATTTTGATGAGATGTATGTTGTCTTTCCTCTAGTGGTGTTATGTGAACGTCGACTACATGACACTTCACCATTGTTTAGGCCTAGGGTAAGGCACTGGGAAGTAATAAGTAGATGATGGGTTGCTAGAGTGACAGAAGCTTAAACCCTTGCTTCATAAGGGGCTGATTTGGATCCACATGTTTCATGTTATGGTTAGATTTATCTTAATTCTTCTTTCGTAGTTGCGGATGCTTGCGAGAGGGGTTAACAATAAGAGGGAGGCTTGTCCAAGTAAGGATAGCACCCAAGCACCGGTCCACCCACATATCAAATTATCAAAGTAACAAACGCGAATCATATGAGCATGATGAAAACTGGCTTGACAATAATAATTGTCATGTGTCATCGGGAGCGCTTTGCTTTATATAAGAGTTCATCCAGGCTTGTCCTTTGCTACAAAAAGGATTGGGCCACCTTGCTACACCTTAGTTACTTTTGTTACTTGCTACCCGTTATGAATTATCTTATCACAAAACTATCTGTTACCGACAATTTCAGTGCTTGCAGAGAATACCTTGCTAAAAATCTCTTGTCATTTCCTTCTGCTCCTCGTTGGGTTCGACAATCTTACTTATCGAAAGGACTACGATAGATCCCCTATACTTGTGGGTCATCAAGACTCTTTTATGGCACCGTTGCTGGGGAGTGAAGCGCCTTTGGTGAGTGGAATTTGGTAAGGAAACATTTATATATTGTGTTGAAATTTACTGTCACTTGTTACTATAGAA